TAAATTTTCCCTACGAGGACGCGATATCATGAAGATCAATTTCAGTTTTCTGAACGGAATCATATATTCTTCGAGGCTGCTTCTATATTCTCTGTAAGAAAATTAAGTATTAAAGTATTAAATAATTAAAGTATTAATCCATGTGTATTGAAAAACCATTGGTCCAACAGATATTTTAACTTCGATTTTGTAACATTTGCATATTTTCATTTTCATACTATCCTTGTCTGTTGTACGATAGATTCGACAAAATTGGAATTAAAACGTCTCCTAGGCATTCTCTTTCGACGTAGTTTAATACTTTTTATTTTCAGGTAATTAAGTAGCATTAATTAGTGTATTAAAAATATGATTTGATTTAAAAAAAAGCGAAATTGACTTTCACATCTTTCTATGCCCGCTACGCGTTTCCATAGGAAAAACTTACATCGTATAACATGCACCTCGAAACCATGTAACTTTTCTTTGACGCATTTCTTTATATCAGCAGTAATTTCTGAGATATTTGTACAGGATTTAAATTGATTTAAATAGATCACGCAGAGATAGCTCAGTCGGTAGAGCATCAGACTCTTAATCTGAGGGTCCAGGGTTCGTCGAACCCCTATTCGGGCGGAAAAAAAGAGATATTGTCCTTTAGGAGAGCTCTGTGTGTATAAAAAGGCCGCAGAGCTCTCCCAACGTGCGGAGGACGGCCATCGTGGAGGTTTTAGTCGGTAAAAATCCGACACTAACCTGGGTTTTCCTTAAAAAGACTCAGGTGTCTTATCGAGGATTTCTTCCACGTAAAAAAAAAAAAAAAAAATAGATCACTCAGAATATTTTCAAATATATGCATATTTCTGAAGAAACATTGGAAACATTTTACTATGAATCAATCATAGTGTTAACGGAAGTAAAGCTTACCTATCTCCCTCTGAACGTCCTGAAGACCGTTTTTCAAATTGGCCACCTCTCTCTGTAGATCGGCCATACTGACTCTGGCTGCGGTCCGAACATGAGGCATGTCCTCCTCGATATCTAATACCTCCCTAAACCTAGACTCAAGAATTTGAACCAAATAGTGCAGCAATGTCGTGCCTTTCGAGCAAGACGATTTGGTATCGACTAGACGATTCAAGGAAGCCAAGCGGAAGCCGCAGGCATTCCCACGTGCATTCCCGCGATTTACATAATTCCCCAGAGCTAAGACCAATTCCAGAAGTTTTCTGAGTCGCCGAGACCTGGCCACTTGTCGACTAGCTTCGAGCACTGCGCGCATCCTCGGCGTCAGTTCCGCAATGCTGGCAGCGAATTTCTTTTTGTAGTGAAGAGATCGTAGTCTCTGCTCGTAGTGCGGCACTCTGAAATTGATTTTCAGTGAATACTAGCTAATTTTAAATTTAATTCGTCGTTGGGACGTGTGTACAATAATATTTGCTACTCGCTATGCGATGGGAATTTTTATTTCTGGGGGGAGGGGGGGGAACTATGGATCTACTACGTACTTGGATATTTGGTATAAGAAACAATCAGCTCTGCTTTGAAGCTCTTTCTGATGTATGTCTAAGAGAGCAGCCTCTTCCGACGATGGGATGTACTTCAGCAGTTGTTCAACCATGTCTATGTGTAGAATATTCTGTTGGTCCATAGAAAGGATGGTTCTAGTGATCTCGTTGTCGGACAGTTTCAATTTGGATAACAAGATCGTGCAGTTCTGAGCTCTCCTGGAATCAATCACCGACATGGTCTTCTTGTTCTTGCCCAAAGTCCGCAGGTCCTCGATCGAACCCTCCGCCGACACACCGTTCTTTTGATAAGCGCAGAAAATCTTATCGATCGACTCCAGATCCATAACGTTGTATAATTTCGTATCGTCGAGCTCTGACCATATGGTGCCTTGCAATTTCTGTTCCGGAATCTTCGACCAGTTGAAGGACTTCAGGGGATTGCTTGGCTGAGGAACATTCTTGATTATCTCCACCTGGGTACGTTCAATCCTTCGTATTAGTCAAGTTCCTCGGCGGTGAACTGATAGAAGAGATTGCGGACTAATTTTTAAAAATTCATTCAAGACCATCTTACCTTCATTGGAGGAGGAGCCGCGGGCATCAGACAAGGAGGTGGCGGTGGTGCCAATGGCGGAGGCGGCGGCGGCGGTGGCATTGGTTTCGATTCAACTTTCTCAAGTACCTCGTCCTCGACAATTTTAATCGTCGCTTTCGCATCGTCCGGTAAACTGCCAGAAGCCACCAATTGTTCCAGCCTCTTTCTCTCCGACTTTTCGTTGTTTATCTGTCGCGATAGCGTCTCGAGGTTGTCTTGCAATTCCGAAATCCTCTGCTTCGTTTCTATGTGCATCGACGTCTCTTTCTCGAGGCGTTCTTTCACCCTTGCCAAGCTAGCTTCTATGTCTTCCTAGAAAGATAGGTGAGAAAGATGGATGAGAACAAGAGCGGGCAACGAATTT